CCTATATGAGGAAAATATTGAAGCTTTATGGGTAAACTTGTTTTGTGTCTTGTTTTGTTTTGTGTCTTTGTTTTGTGACAGCAGGGCTGAACGGAGTTGGGAATTCTAAACAAACAAGACAATTTAAGGTCTAGGTTATGATGATGGCAAAATAATATATCGATAGTGTATAAGGGGTTACAAATGGATGAACAGTGAGATATTATATGATTGTATTTATCTGCAGGTACCCCTACAAGCTATCATCATTCTACAAAACAGTATTTTCTTAAATCCCTGCTGCTAAAATTATATTGAGTCTTTAATAGCACATCTCATACACGAGCATGGAATAAAAGAAGAAATTCTGCCATGATCTGTTTAGTAACACCAAACCTCTACGATGGAAAAGTAGAAGCTTAAGGAAAAAGTAGTTAAAAAATAATAATTCAACCGGGTACAGTTAAAACATCTAGCACTTTTATTAAGCACATAAATAATACACAATACAATGTGTTTATTCCCTGTCTGGCACACTAATATGCCTCAAGCCACCTCAAAGTATGCTGCAAGCACAAGGACTCTGGCGACCAGAGCTGCTTTTAAGCAAGATGTGAGGAAAGGCACTGTGGTATTTGTGAAGCTGTCTGGTGGTTCAACAGTTCTATAAGAAGGTAAATGTGTTTACATGGGACACAAACTTCAGTGTGTATTTTGGTTCCTCTGTGTGTCATTGTGTTTGCATTGGTCACTGTGTATGTGTCTGTGTGTTTTCATTTGTCACTATGTGTCTGTCAGTGGGTGCATTGGTCACTTTTTATGTGTATGTCAATGTGTTTGGATTGGTCACTGTGTGTCTCTCAGTGTGTGTATCAGTCAATGTGTGTGTCATTGTGTTTGTATTGTTCAATTTGTGTGTCAGTATGTTTTTATTTCTCACTGTCTATGTGTTTGTATGACTCACCGTTTGTGTGCATACACATGTGTCAGTAAGTGTTAATGAGTGTATGTGATTGTGTGAGCCAGTATGTTAGTGAGTGTGTGTGCATTAGTGATTGTGTATCGTTGTGGTTGTATTGGTGACTGTGTTAGAATGGGTCACCATGTATTTCAGTGTTTGTCAATGAGTATATGTGAGTGTGTCACTGAGTTAGTGGATTGATGATTGCGTGGTTGTAAGTAAGTTTCACTGTTTGTGTAACACTGTTTTTGGCCAAATAAAAAGCCATAATAACAAGCACAAAAAAAAAAAATCCATCTTCACCCAACGAGGGCACCACGCAGACTGAGCTCTGCAGGGCGGGGGAAGGCTTATAAAACCTTGCCCCGCCCTGCAATTAGGCTCAGAGCACTCTGATTGGTGGGTTTAAGCCATCCAATCAGAGTGCTCTGACAGGTAAATGAAGAGACTGACAGGTAAGTCGCTACATTTACCTGTCACAGCACTTTGATTGGTTGGTTTGAAATCCACCAATCAGAGTGCTCTGTGTCATTTTACACAGCGTGGGAAAGTTCTTTGGAATTTTCCCACACTGTGTAATTTGACTCATAACTCTCTGATTGGTTACTTAATCCACCATTATAATCCACTTTATAAGCCTTCCCCCGCCCTGCAGAGCTCAGTCTGCGCGGAGCCCTCCATGGGTGAAGAAGGATAATTTCTTTTTTGCACTTGCTTTTTTTTTTTTTTTAATTGCGCAGGTTATTATGGATTTTATTTGGCCTTTTTTAGGGCTGAAAAAAGAAGATTTTAGAAGAAAGAAAACATCAAATGGTAAGTTTATTTTTATTTTTTTTACAGGTACTTAGTTAATGGTCCCCCCTCATTATTTTTAGGGTGAGGGGGGTAGGTAGGGGTTAATGTTTTTGGGGAGGGGGGTAACTAGGGGTTTGGGGACCCCTAGTCACCTGCAGGAGGGGGGGTTATTTTTTTATTTAGTGTCCCCACCCTACGCTCAGGAAAGGGGGCCCGGGGGAAGGATATTAGGTCCCCCCCTAATTAGTATTTAGGGCCCCCACCCACTGCTCAAGGGTGGGGGCCGGGGGGGGACATTAGGTTGCTCTGCCACTGGCTGCTCACTGTTTAATAGACATGCCCCTACTCGCGGTATAGAGATCTTTACTTAGTATTAGTAAATTTGTCTGAAAGACTCAGGGGTGGGGGCCAGGGGGGAGGACATTAGGTCCCCCCAATTAGTATTTAGGGCCCCCACCCACCGCTCAGGGGTGGGGGCCAGGGGGGAGGACATAAGGTCCCCCCCAATTAGTATTTAGGGCCCCCACCCACTGCTCAGGGGTGGGGGACAAGGGGGAGGACATTAGGTCCTCCCCCCCTCATTCTAATTTAGGGCCTCCACCCACCGCTCAGGGATGGGGGCCAGGGGGAGGACATTAGGTCCCCCCCAATTTGTATTTAGGGCCCCCACCCACCGCTCAGGGGTGGGGGCCGGGGGAAGGACATTAGGTCCTCCCCACTCATTCTAATTTAGGGCCCCCACCCACCGCTCAGGGATGGGGGCCAGGGGGAGGACATTAGGTCCCCCCCTAATTAGTATTTAGGGCGGGGGGACATTAGGTTGCTCTGCCACTGGCTGCTCACTGTTTAATAGACATGCCCCAACTCGCGGTATAGAGATCTTTACTTAGTATTAGTAAATTTGTCTTAAAGACCAATTTAGGTCTTTCAGCCTTTTAGTAGATAGCTCCCTAATACCGTGGGAATTAGGGAGTTATCTACTTATTCATTCCTGTCAATACATTGACTGGCCAAGTAACTTACATTTTATATGAATGTATGTTACTTGATTGTTGTAAGTGTTGCAAATGCTTACAGCTGAATCCTGGCTATGTTTGTATACTTATTTAAAATTGTATACAATGTAACATTCTTCTTCTTCCACTGGGAAGGTATATTAGTACTTAAACTGTGCTTCGGAACTTCGACACTTCGGAAATTAAGTAATTTTGGAACTTTAGGACCTCAGTAATTCGGCACTTCGGCAACTCAGCACTTCGGCAATTCGGCACTTCGGCTGTTCGGACATTCAGAAGTACCCGAATGTCCGAATTGCCCGAAATTCATCCGAATACATATTCGGCCCGAAACGAATTGCACATGTCTAACATATACAGATGTACAGATACAACAAGTGCTAAACATGCAAATACACAGACACACAGATGCAAACACTGACACACATACAGATACAAACACACAAATAAACAAATACAAACACTTGTTTTTCTTTGAGAGGTACAAACACTGACACAAATACAAACAGTGATACACATGCAGATACACAAACGCACACACTGACATGCACTTGCAAACACACAGATACATACTGACACATGTCCAGATACAGAGATGCAAACACATACAGTTGCACAAACACTGACACACATGCAGATACACAGATACAGTGTGTGTGCAACTGTATGTGTGTCAGTGTGTATATCAGTTTGTCTGTGCAACTGTATATCAGTATATACATCTGTGTGTCTGTGTACCTGTATGTGTCATATGTGTATATCTGTGCCTGTATCTTTATGTGTGTCAGTGTTTGTATCTGTGTATCTTTATGTATATAGTGTTTGCATCTGTGTGTCTTTGCATCTGCAAGTGTGTCAGAGTTTGTATCTGTGTATCTGGACATGTGTCAGTGTGTGCATCTGTGTATCTGCAAGTGTGTGTCAATGTGTCTATCTGCACTGTGAGAGGGGGGTCTGGGGCAGAGGAGGAGCAGGGGGAGTCTGGAGAAGCAGGGGGACCTGGAGCAGAGGAGAAGCAGTGGAGTCTGGGACACAAGAAGAGTAGAGGGGGCCTGGGGCACAGGAGAAGCAGGGGTCGGCCTGGGGCAGAGAAGAAGGGGAGATGGGGCAGGGAAAACTGTATTCATTTGAAATAACAGAAACTATATTAATAACAAGCATTTTGCTCACATTAGGGGTCCATTTATGGAAATTGGCTGCTCAGTGAGTGATTGGGAACCACCGTATTATTAAAAATTAAAAGACTTGTGTGACGAGACCAATCTCGCCACATTGCATTGGAGAAGCCTGGTTGCTCGCCTGCTGCCTTTGGACTATGGCCCCCTTTTAAAAGACTTTATTTTTGCATGCAGAAAAGCTGTATTCGTGCTTTTCTGCCGGTTGTTCGGTAGTTTCAATCTACCGAACAACCGTACGAATGACTGGACCACCTGGGAGCTGGAGTGTGCCGGCAATTAACCTCCCTGAAGCTGCGGTTAACCGCAGCTTAATTGATGAACGCTGGGTGGCCGCCGTTCGTATCCCGAACACGAGGTCGCGGCCATTTTAAACCATACGAATGAACAGCGGTGTTCGCCACTATTTTCATGGAACTAAAATCGGACACAGTTTTGCGCGAACACCGCTGAAGCCGCCGACCTCCCTTCTTGTTCGGTGAAAGCACACGAATGACCCGGTGTTCGGTATTTTTGTGTGAATGTCTTATACCCCAGATAGGAATCCCATGGAGCCCATTCGTATGAAACTGACTGTAAAGACTTTGGCTCCATGGCGATTGAACTGTATTCGTGTAGTCTGAGTGCCATTCACCTAATAATGTGCACTCAGACCTGAGCTATCTGGGGATGTGTTACATGCCTGTGTTTAATGTAGTAAATGTTACTTTGTGCATTTTAAAGTATAATGCTGTTTTGTGTTCCCACGTGTGTAATGGAGTTTTGCCTTTGTCTTGGGAGATAATTGAGTTACTTCCCAATTATCTCCCAGGGCAGAGGGGAGGAAGCCAGGATGCATTGTGGGAATATACTGTGACTGTGTGTCCTATTTGTATACTTGTCTGTCCCTTGTCACAGTCTCCCATTTGGTCCCCTAGGGGAGTGTCCACCAGGTGGGAGACCTGCATAAAAGCCGGGCAGGTAGCCCTCATTAAACAGACCACTGCTTGACCCTCAACACGGAGCCTTGTCTCGTCTTTGGGGGGATTTACTGTATGCTGCTAAGGACTGATTGCCAGGAGTGTAAGCCGCTTGGGAAGCTTTTCCTGTTCGTCTGCTAGCAGCTATTCGTATGGTTCCTGTTCGTTTATTTGAAGTGCTACCTTATTCCCTTGTATGCCGTTCGGGAGTTTGGAGCATTCACTTATTGGCGGTTCGTGAGTTTTGGTGATTATTCAGTAGCTGTGCCTGTCTCTGAAAAGGGGGATTATCGTCTAAGCGTTTTTTTCCCCTTTTGTGCAAAACGGTCCGTTACAATTGGTGGCAAGCGGCGGGATCGTTCCCACGGACTACAGGACAGCTACAGGAGACACCATTCCGTGGATTTACAATTTGAGGGCAACGCATGTCTGAGTACAGCGACCCTGACAGCAACAGCATGGAACCAGCAGTGTCATACGAGGAGGAGGACCTGGATGGCCGGGATGCATTAAGGAAAGGCATCTGGTACCAGGCCCTGGATAATGTACAGTACCAGCGGGGTGAGAGTCTCCCCAGTGAAGAGCAGCGGTTGCAGAAGCAAGTGGCCCTGCGGATGCCCTTCCTGGGAGAGCAGCCCCTGGATGAATGGGTGAAGGAATTGGAGCACCGGGTATGGCAGGAGATTTGGCTGGAAGATGCCTACCAGGCGCTCTGGTGGTATGGGGCACAGTACCTGCCCTGGACAGCCGAGCATGACAAGCCAGAGGGAGAGGAGTTTGATGGTCCTGGTTTGTTATGGGAGGCTTTTTCAGAGCCTGAATTTGGGAGCCCTACACAAGCCCGGTTCAGTGATCTCTTGGAGTGGAGGGAGAGCAGGTATGACTGGGACGACACTCACAACATTGAGCAAGACCTGGCTCACCTAGCAACCCTGGAGTGGGAACTGGAGCAGGACTACCGAGATCTCTTCCACTCCATTGAGAAGATTCAGCAGGACAGCAAGGTGACAGAGCCAGAACCAGACCCATTCAGCTGGGAAGACATTGTGGATATTTTCTGGGAAGAACCCCAGGTGGCCGGTAGAGATGGGACCGAGGTCTCTCCACCGGTTCTGCAGGGAATTGGGAGCCCAGTCTCCATTCCCCAGCGGCCGTGTGATTTATTGGGAGTTGGGAGCCCAGTCTCCATTCCCCAGCGGGAGATATTGCAGGGAATTGGGAGCCTGAGCTCCATTCCCCAGCGGCAGGCTGAGTTACAGGGGACAGAGATAGTCGCTCCTGTCCCCCAGCAGCAGAATGAATTGCAGGGAATTGGGAGCCCGAGCTCCATTCCCCAGCGGCAGAAATTGCAGGGAATTGGGAGCCCGAGCTCCATTCCCCAGCGGGAGATATTGCAGGGAATTGGGAGCCTGAGCTCCATTCCCCAGCGGCAGGCTGAGTTACAGGGGGCAGAGGTAGTTGTTCCTGCCCCCCAGCAGCAGAATGAATTGCAGGGAATTGGGAGCCCGAGCTCCATTCCCCAGCGGGAGATATTGCAGGGAATTGGGAGCCTGAGCTCCATTCCCCAGCGGGAGATATTGCAGGGAATTGGGAGCCCAGTCTCCATTCCCCAGCGGCAGTGTGATACGCAGGGAATAGGGAGCCCAGTCTCCATTCCCCAGCGGCAGAGTGTCCTACCGGGAATAGAGAGCCCAGTCTCCTTTCCCCAGCAGCAGGACACTGTATTGGGAGCGGAGACAGTCGGTCTCCCTCCACAGAGGATGAAAATAGGTATGGGAGAGGAGCTTGCTACCACCTCTCCCCAGCGGCAGATCATTAATGGGCAGGGAATAGAGAGCTCAGTCTCCTTTCCCCAGCGGCAGAGTGTTATATTGGGAGAGGAGCCTGTTACCCCCTCTCCCCAGCGACAGGGCTGTCTAGCCAAAGGGGAGACAGTCGGTCTCCCCCTCCAGCAGCAGAGATGGGTAACCAAAGGGGAGACGGTCGGTCCCCAGCAGCAGGACTGTGCATCTAAAGGGGAGACAGTCAGTCTCCAGCAGCAGCAGCAGAGCGGTGTATTTAAAGGGGAGACAGTCGGTCTCCCCCTCCAACAACCAGGCTTCCACCAGGCTACCCTCCCAGTAGCGCTGGCAACAGGGCAGAGTGCCGCTGGTCTCTGCCCACGCAGCAACCCACCAAGTCAGCGTACCCGTACCCAGCACAGCCGTGGTGAGGCACCTGGACATGGACAAGCTTCTTCTCTACCCAGGTGTAGTAACCATTTATTGTGGGTGGGCTGTGCTGTGGATTATTTGTTGTGGGTGGGCTGCTGGACTAACAAGGGCACTGACCGGCAGGAGGTCAGATACCCTGTTAGTCTGTTTGGAAAAGGGGAGAGATGTGACGAGACCAATCTCGCCACATTGCATTGGAGAAGCCTGGTTGCTCGCCTGCTGCCTTTGGACTATGGCCCCCTTTTAAAAGACTTTTTTTGCATGCAGAAAAGCTGTATTCGTGCTTTTCTGCCGGTTGTTCGGTAGTTTCAATCTACCGAACAACCGTACGAATGACTGGACCACCTGGGAGCTGGAGTGTGCTGGCAATTAACCTCCCTGAAGCTGCGGTTAACCGCAGCTTAATTGATGAACGCTGGGTGGCCGCCATTCGTATCCCGAACACGAGGTCGCGGCCATTTTAAACCATACGAATGAACAGCGGTGTTCGCCACTATTTTCATGGAACTAAAATCGGACACAGTTTTGCGCGAACACCGCTGAAGCCGCCGACCTCCCTTCTTGTTCGGTGAAAGCACACGAATGACCCGGTGTTCGGTATTTTTGTGTGAATGTCTTATACCCCAGATAGGAATCCCATGGAGCCCATTCATATGAAACTGACTGTAAAGACTTTGGCTCCATGGCGATTGAATTGTATTCGTGTAGTCTGAGTGCCATTCACCTAATAATGTGCACTCAGACCTGAGCTATCTGGGGATGTGTTACATGCCTGTGTTTAATGTAGTAAATGTTACTCTATGTATTTTAAAGTATAATGCTGTTTTTGTGTTCCCACATGTGTAATGGAGTTTTGCCTTTGTCTTGGGAGATAATTGAGTTACTTCCCAATTATCTCCCAGGGCAGAGGGGAGGAAGCCAGGATGCATTGTGGGAATATACTGTGACTGTGTGTCCTATTTGTATACTTGTCTGTCCCTTGTCACAGTCTTCCATCTGGTCCCCTAGGGGAGTGTCCACCAGGTGGGAGACCTGCATAAAAGCTGGGCAGGTAGCCCTCATTAAACAGACCACTGCTTGACCCTCAACACGGAGCCTTGTCTCGTCTTTGGGGGATTTACTGTATGCTGCTAAGGACTGATTGCCAGGAGTGTAAGCCGCTTGGAAGCTTTTCCTGTTCGCCTGCTAGCAGCTATTCGTATGGTTCCTGTTCGTTTATTTGAAGTGCTACCTTATTCCCTTGTATGCCGTTCGGGAGTTTGGAGCATTCCCTTATTGGCGGTTCGTGAGTTTTGGTGATTATTCAGTAGCTGTGCCTGTCTCTGAAAAGGGGGATTATCGTCTAAGCATTTTTTTCCCCTTTTGTGTTCAAAACGGTCCGTTACAACTTGTCATCGATACAGTAACTCCTTATGTCACCCCCTGTATACCCTTTTTTGCATCAGCCCACTGGAACATCCTAGGACTTGTCTTGGATATGCCCAGCACCAAAGCAGGCCTGTGCGATTACTTACTTTAGTGTTACTGTAGAGAGGGAGTGGTCTTTGCCTTCCAGAGGCACACTACTCTGGATCCCAAAACCATGTGTTCGGCCTGTGGCAACATCTCAGGTGTTAGGGCTTGTGGGACAGGCATGTCTTATTGACTTCTGAGAGGTTGTCAAGCCCTGACAGAGCTCCGGACATCGCTCCCTGATTTTCAAGGGGGCGCACAGTATCCGCCATTTTAAGCATGCTGCTCCTGGTGCCAGTGGTGTTTATGGTATTACTGCATATCCCCGGTGTAATGAGGAAACCCCCAGGGTAAGGACAGGGATCACTCTTGCCGTTCTCGAGGGGGGGCGGAGTAGCGGGGCCTTTGCATGATATTGCTACATGTCAGCACGAGCATGCTGGGAAATCCCCTCCACATTGCTCACTAGGCCAATTCTCAATGGCAGATGGTTCCATTTGGACGATTGTGACTGACCGCTGCAAGCAACCACAAGCCAGTCTTTCAATGCAGGATTCTCAGGAGTCTCATCCAGCCCAAGGTAAAGATATAGATATACACCTAAATCGTTAGTTTCTGAGGAGCACTCAGAAAATGTGTTTAGTTGCCATTGTCCAGGCCCGCTGCTGAAATTATTGCAATTTTGAGCTACTCTTATCAGGGTTCTGTCAGCTCCATCAACTATGTAATAATCAAAGTGAGTGCAGAGTTCTTTCAGCATCATCAACTTTGTAATAATAATGCAAAGTTTTTATGGTACTTTAATCATACAATCAAAATAAGAGGTAGTTGAGATGGGTCAATATATGCAGTTACCACTTCTTCCATGCCTGAACAGCTGTAATATTCCTCATGGTGTTAGGAGCTACGTAAACAGCTGTACGTAGAATTCACAGAATACCAGAGTGATGTTTAATTAATCACAGACAGTGTTATTTACTCAAGGGCAAATGCTGGGAATTCAAAGTGAATCCACATTAAATTCAAAGGAATTTCAATTTTAACGTCAAAATAACCAAACTGGAAACAAAAATCTCTAAGTTAGCCACGTTTTCATATTGGCTGGTCTTGCCAAAAATGTGAAATTCACTTTGAATTCCTAACAAGTCACACTTGAATGAAAACCCTTATGAATAAATGTCTTAAATTGTTATATTAATTATTATTATTGCCATTTTTATAGCGCCAACTTATTTAGTTGCACTTTACAATTTTATAAAAAGTGGGAATAAATGGGACTTAACCCCTTAAGGACCAAACTTCTGGAATAAAAGGGAATCATGACATGTCACAAATGTCATGTGTCCTTAAGGGGTTAAACAAGCTTACAGTCCAGAGGACAATTAACCCCTTAAGGACTGCAGGAACTCGGCTCTGAACGCTGGTGGGCGGCACAGCACCTGCCCGCTGTCCAAGGTGCCTGGAATGACAGGTAGTCCCCCTGCTGCCTGTAATAAAAGTAAAATAAAGTAAAAAACTGTTTTTTATTCATTAATATATACTTAGATCACACACACACATATATATATATATATAAAAAATATATATTATAAGTATATATATATACACTTACACATACATACACATACACTGTCTAAGTGTATTTTAATATTTATATATATATATATGTACTTTTGGCTGTATCTATATACATAAGTATAT